TGCAAGGAAACCTGTTTTGGGGGATATCATGCGAAGAACCAACATGGAAACAAACCAACAGCGGCAAGGGGAACCAGTGGAGTCATTGCGTTTGATGCAGGTACACAGTGGAGCGTCCTCCACTGCTTCAGCACCAACCGATACCCTCTTCGTTGGACGGGTAGTATCGGTGGTGACCCGTCCCCCTGCCTCTTTTTTCTTTGCGTGAAGAAACTGCAAGTTAGTAGCGATACCAGAAGCCCTTAGTAGCAGAACCAGGGGCCCTAGTAGCATCCTGTACGACTCGAAACCTTAGACACAGGTGTGGACACACACACAGAGACACGGATGGGGAGGGTTTAAGGATGAAGGATGGGGTGGGGGGGGGGGGGTGGGGGGGGGGGGGGGGGGGGGGGGGGGGGGGGGGGGGATGGGGTGGGTGGGGGGGTGTTAATAACATCCCTTTGGATATTCATCTGCATGATGATCTCTGTTTGCTAATTGCTTCCACAGTACCATGCATGTAACACAAATGCTCTGCATCCTTCATTCATTTGCTAGTGGTTACGGTGGCCTCCAATCTACTAGCGATGGCCTCCATAGTAGTAGCGATGGCTTCCAACCTACTAGCGATGACACGCGTTCCGAAGCGATCACATTGCCGCGTTCCGAAGCGATCGTTTTTCTGCGTTCCGAAGCGACTACCTCACACCCCAGAAGGCCCCAGAATCTCGCAGAAGGCCCGGATTTTCTCACCCAGCTCCGTTCAGTCCTGCCGGATCTCCGACGCAGGAGTCCGGCCCGGGCGCCTCAACGGCCAAGCGGCCAGTCCGATCGACGAGTCAGGTAATCCATCAGCCCAACACAGGGCCATAGCGCACCTGGCGCTACTTCCTGTTGTGCTGCCCGTGGATGCCTGCCCCGCGAGCGCGCAAGGTCAAGCTTCGTTTAGGGATCTTGCTGTGGAAATGTCTGAACGCCTCAACAGCGCGCACTCAGCCAGGCTGAAAAAAACAATATAAGTTATAAGCATCTTACTGTTGCAGTGTGGTGCATTTTCGCCTTGTTTGGCCAGCAGAACAAATGTGTACTTGTTGCATGTGCCTACTGCTTCTGGCGCTTAAACTCACTAGCAAAGGACCAGCAGCTTCTTATTTGCTTGTCCACAAACAGCATAGAAGGAACATCTTCTGCTCACCCAGTCATCAAATAACATGGACTGCTTCAGCTCCTCCGGTGGATCCCACTGAACACGACGCACCTCCCCTCCGCTCACCTCGCCTCTCGGGACGAGGCCACACGGCGCGCGCTCATGACCTCGCCTGGCACGACGGACGTGGAGCAAATGCACAGTGGAGTGGGTGGACATCCAGGAAATGTGATTGAACAAACCCAGCAGATTCACTTGAAACTCAATTTTGTGTGTGCGCTTTTGTTTCTTGTGGAAAGACACCACCAGAAACAATATGCATGCACACAATGAAGCTTCCTCAGGGGGTTGATCCATCCGGACGAGTACAAGCAAAACTTATGTGAATCAGAAAAAAAACAGGACAAAACATAGCCAAGGGATCTTTCTTTTACACTACATCTGCCTCTCTTCTGCATGCAAAGCCGCAGCGCCATCCACAGAAGCACGCCGGCAGCGCTTCGGAGCTGGTCGCGGAGCTCCTGTTTCAAGTCCCTGAAGGTGGGCTGCTTTGGCCGTTAGCTTGGCCCATTTCGAGCTGGCTTCCGTCACTTGGCGTACCCTTTCTGGACATTGGATGTACGGCGAAGGGTCCATTGTCACTTGCAACTCTTACCAAATCAGTCACCCCCTAGAGAAAGCTGGAGTGGCTAGCCACGAGCTGATAGCAGCAACCTAAGTCTTGTATCGCACATCTTTAAACAGTTGCATCAAACACAATTCTACGTAACTTCCAAACTAACTTCCAAAGGTTCATTTTAGAGCGATCCTACGTACATTGGAAGGATTCAATACAAATCCACCCTAAGCTAGCACACTCTTTGCCCGCCCACTTATCCCTCCAATACCCCATCGCCTGCATAAGCTCCTGCGAAGCTCATTACCTTGCCGTCGTGGGCCGAAGCAACACATGTGCCACCTTCGAACGCAACAACATGGAGGTTGCGTGGTGAATTCTTCTAAAGCGAAGGTTTGGGGGGACTTAACCTCCAAAGGCAAAAGGAGTGAAGCCTTCCTATTACCAACATCTTGGCGGCTTACCCCCTCTTGAGAGAACTCCATGAGCAGCGTTGCTACAATTCAAGCTGACTTTCCGCCCTGGCCCGCACAGTAGAGTACATCCCAGTAGGAGGAGCCATCACTGATGGTCATCGACAGCCACCACAGAATAGCATGAGCCCAAGAAACAACAGGAACATGTCCTGAACTTCGAGGCCATTGTGTATCCGAGATGTGCAGACCAAGATTGGAGGGAGAGTAGAAGAACCTGGCAACTGCATGCAACTGCAAGTTTTGCAAAGTGCATCACTGTGGCCACCGGCAAGGGTTTCTTCGCACTTCATCACCTCAGAGAAACAACGCAAACGTGCAGGATTTGTGTCTCATAGACTCATTGATCCACATGACAGGATGAGCAAACAGAATGACCACCTCTGAATATTCAGGTATGTTCTCAAGGACACTGAAGTGTAGAAACTTGCAAGCGGGACTGGCGACGCTGTACATCATCATGCCCGCCATTTCTTCCCGCACGAATGGGGAAAAACATTGAAAAACTGTTGGGCGCAACGTCAACATCAGAATGTCAAATGAAGGCTGCGAATTCCAACCCGTGTCCCCTCTCAATTTGACTTGGAGAAACCCTTCAGCATTCAATACGCTGTAGCGGCAAACTGTCACTGTCGGCGGCTGCATTTTCGGCTCCAACGCCCAGCTTCGTCAAGCATATATGGCCAAAGCATAAGCCATATGATGTGTTACCAACTGAAACTCTTCAGATCTGGATCCCATTTTCAGATGGAAAATACCGTTTTCAGCGGAGTTGCCGATTCTGGGCTCCCCCGGCACAAAGCTTCCTGCATTGAGCAGCAAAGCTCCATGAAGAGCTCATGGCTTGTTGGATGCAAACCTTCCAGCTCCAAGGTGATTCAAGTCGCGTGTGATCCTACTTCCAAAGTCTCTAAGGAGTCTCCAAGTGATTGGGATCTGGGAATACTTCGGATGATTTGGGCGGATTTGAGGGGGTCTGATGATGACTTCCCTTCCAAAAACTCCATTTGGCGAACCCTGGTTTTGATAGACAGCCTTTGAAATTATTGAACAAAACAATGACGTCCATTGCGATGTGGGGATCCGCCTCGCATCATCGGCGTTTCTTTGGATCAGCTAGCAAACTTGAAAGCTTTTGGAGGCCATCGCGATTAGTAAGCTATTAGGTTGGAGGCCATGGCTAGTAGGCCAGAATGGTTGGCCGAAACAGCCGCCACCGGTGAAAAGAGGACGGACGCAGAAAGCACGACTCAGTCGTGCGGCCAGGCCCCTCCTGCGGCCCTACCTGGAGGCGCTTCGTTGCTTTTCAAGTGGTTTTTCAGCAGCAGCAGTTGGATCTGCAGCTGCTGCTGCACCTGACGACTCGATTGGCAGAACTCGCCCCAAACGAAGAGTGGGAGGGAGTTTCCTGCATCTGTGAGCAGGGTTTCTGAAGAGCAGGGTGTGGCATGATGTGGCTGGGACATGCATCTCAGACTTCTCAATGGCAAGCCTCCAAGCTCAACTGACGGCTATGCCTTTCACTGCCACTGCTGGCTGGTGAGCCACTTAAATAGGAATGGCCTGGAATGGCCATTGGAGGCATTCCCAGCTTGGCATTGGGTCAACATCTGCCCGTCTTGTACACCCAAAGAAAGAACTAACAACGTCTTGTGGGATCTTCACCCGTTTTGGATGGTGAGTCTTGTTAAGCCATGCACACAACTTGTTAAGCCAGCAACAGTGTTGATCATCAACAGCAAGAACAAAGCATGCATAAATAACATCTGATGGGGCCGACTTCGATCGTGTGGTGGAGGATTCCACCGAACATGCCATCTTTGGGTATGGTAAGTAGATGTGAGTCATGTCATTGTTTCTCCCTGCAAGTACAGCAATTGGTCCCCAGATGCAGCCCCAAGTATGAACAACATCCATCAACATTATATATTTACAGTAATATAAGATACATTCTGCATTATACTCCGACCTAGAAGGGGGTGGTTCATGGACACACCCCTTCACCTCTAAGGGCTTAATGGACACCCCTCTAAGTATACGGGGCCATGTCCCACCTCTCGGCTCTCGGTGCCTCGGTGTGCTGCCGCATCGCCCAAGTCTCGGACTCCTCCAGGGCTCTTCGTGCCAAAGAGGCCTCAGCTGATAGGCTAGTTGATGGCTGCTACATCTGCACCCAGCCACTGCCTGGAGGTATATATTATTATTGTTATTATTTATTGTTATTATTTTTACTATTACTATTATTGTTATATTATATGTTAGACATGTAAGTTGCATCTGCCTGCTGTCCTTTTCTGTATGCTATTTGACATGCACAAAAACATGTGACTACAAACGTAGAGCCACGACAACCGCATGTACTTCTTTACACTCAAAACAGGTCATTAATTCTGGGGTTGTGATAGGGTTGTGATGTGCGCAGGGAAGGACAGTGAAGTACTACTGTATATAGCGTTAAACAAGTAAGCACCTCTCAATCAAACATACATCACTTGCAGCTCTAAAGACGTACATACATACATATATATATATGCACAGCCTATATAGTTCTGCCGACAAAGCCGTGACTGCTTGGTCAAACTAGCTACGACACAAATACAGGATTCACATGGATTGACCCCTTCAAAGGTTCTACCGTTTAGCCGGAGATGTCCCGTTTGTACATAGCCGGACATGAGGAGCCTCAAAGGAGGGTGTTTTGACCTCCAGGGACGACTCCGAACGACACCCCGACTGGGCAGCTGTGACAAAGGCCCCCACTTCAGCTGCCTGCCAGGCAAACAAGGAAAACAACTGGTACAATATATTTAACTGGCTCTGATTAACCTGATTGGCAACTTGATTGACTAAGATTAGGAGCACGATTCTAACTTTGGACTTGCCCTTGAATGAAGTGACCATCCGTCACAACAACCCCGAACACCACGGTCGAAACGTGGGTCGGCGCAGCTTGGTTCTGACTGATTCGAGTGAGGTTCCAAAGGCCAAACAGGTGATTTTCCACTCCCATGAATTTACTCTCTGACCGATTCGCAAAGCATGCGACACATCGTGCACCGTGAGCAGTGCAGATTGTATCTGCCTTTAAAATCCTCTCAAATCCCAAACACTGCAGACTGTAAGTCCCCAATCGGCTGAAAACACATGTGGTTCATGAGAGGATAGCACTGGTCCATCCGCCAAAAAAACCTGGCCTCACCAGCAAGAGCCGCTTCAGTGGCTTCTGCCCACCGCTCCTGAAGAGTGATTAAAGGAAAAGGGGAGCAGGAAAGATTGTGAGCTTCCCCAGCAAGCACTTTTTTTCTGTATTTTTTTAAGTTGAAGCGCTGAAAACACTGAGAAAATGGGGCCTGCAATGGGTTCCACACTCTTTTTTTTTGTAATTCATCTCATTGCCTTAGCCTTATTTGCTGTTGCTTAAAACTACTCACTACTCCTATCTGGAATGACTTTTATACATACATTCAGTTCACCTCCAGTTGCACCATGTTGACACCATTGGACTGTCAATGCGCAGGTAACTGGACTCCCAGGTCAGGGATACCATACCTCGAACAAGCGACCAGGGAACAGTTCAGTTCTTCTTTTACACGAAACAAACCTCTACGGTTCTCATTGCTCATGGAATTGCCTTTACCAACAATCATCTCTCCAGCAACCGGCTCGACTTTATTGTGGTCTTCTCATCCAACAAGTCTGCTACCCCCGAACACCTACCAACATCCAAGCTGGGTGCATTTCAAGAGAGACAAGAAGTCTCTGTCGGACGTTCTGAGCACTCCAAATAAAGACCCATCGAAGACCCTGCCAGCACAAAAACCATCATATACTTAGAAACGAGACACCCAGCCATCGATGCTGTGCCTTTACCCAATTACCAAGCAGTGTGAGGCTTCTGGTGTACCAAAGATGCACAAATGAGTCTCCGAAACTTTCGGCTTCTCCTGGTTCTTCTGACTGGCCAGCAATTCTTGGGAGTAAAGCTGCCGCAGTTCATCCTGCACAGGATGGAGAAAAGGTCAGCAGGCCCGTCAGCAGGCCTTCAAAAGGCCTGAGGCACTTGGCCTCCAAATGCAACTCCAGCTCTGTAACCAGAAAAGGAACCCACCGTCCAACCGATCTCGCATGTGCTACACCTTCCCAATTGGTTTCGTGAGGAGGGTCAGCAAGACTGCGTTATATACATATAAATGTGTGTGTGTTGCTCATTTTTGATTGGAGGGAAGAACCCTGCGCATCATATCACTTTGTCATCCTTCGCTGGAACCTCGGACACACGATGATCCTCATGAGAGAACATGTGGAAATCCTTGTAGCGACAGCTCGACGTGTCCTTTCCCCGGGTGTCCCACATGTCATGCCTTGTGAATGTTCAGATCTTCCAGTTTTCTGAGATCGCCCACCCCAATGACCACTACCTCCACCATTCGCAGGAAAGGTAGGATGAATATGAATGAATCACGCATCATCAAGAATCCACCAGTTGCTGGGGTTCCACTCCCTATCCTCCCTGCTCTGAAATGACTGCTGCACATCCTTCTCAAACCACCTCCCGGAGACCCGACCAGCGCCTCGACGGCTTCAAAGGCCCGCTTCTCACCTCCATGCTGTGCGCGCAGCGCATTGATGCGCTTGGCGTAGCTCTGGTGCATCTCTAGGACCTCCTCAACGCGTGGTCAAAATGGGCTATACAAATGAGCTACGGCTACGGCCAGTTCACCTAGCAGAAAATCACTTCTGCTGGTTCCAATCCCCACGACACTAAACAACCGGGGGATTGGGAGCGATGACGGAGGGATGACGCGAGTCAACTCGCAGGAGATCTGGATGGACCCCAAACCCTGACGAATGCGTGGACGAGTCCACGGTGAGGATGGAGTCCAAACGCACTAAGAATCGGATCCCTCAATTCGGCTGGGATACCTTTTCGGATTGACCGAGTCGCTTTGGAAGTTTGCTTCATCGAGTCACCGTTACCTCAGTGAGTTTGGAGTGGGACCGCCGGAAGCGGATCCGAAGATGGGAAGACACAGGGGGCCAAATGGGCCAACCTACAATACTACAAGATCCATGAGAATGAAGGAACCGGAAGGAACACATCCAGAAACATATATTGTTGTTTTCACAAGTTCAACAATCACCTGCCAAGTCTCTAAGCTGGTGAAACCTTCCACCATCTCCAATCATCCACAGCAATTATCCCCACCTTATTCATCCTTCCACCACCTGTCTCCTTCGCCGGAACACCCACCTGCACAAAGCCGCCCAGCAGTGACCCACCCAGGATTGACCGATCGACCGGTCTGCCGACGCGGTCCCGTCGTCCCGTCGGGACGCTCCTCGTTGAGCCGCAAGTGACGTTGCTGGGCCTCTTCTTCCCAGGAACGTGCCGAGGCCTCGGTCTGGATACGGTGCCGATGCAGCGCCGGAGATTTGGACCTGGTGGAGGCAAAGCTTATTTTACACCAAACACCCCAAGAGCGATAGGTTGGAAATCACACAAACTGAGAGGACTTGCTATGGATTTGTTTGCTTCTTTGTTTGTGGGTCAAAAACACAAAGATCACATTTGTCATCGCAAGAAAGTGCACTACTATATCAACCTGGCGTCTTTGGTTGCAACATGTTGCCACTCACAGCCGTGTTTCTTGGCAAAAGGTTGGATCATGAGTGGATGGCACAACGCAGAAGGTGGCTTAAAGGATATGGGGTTGCTCAACAAATGCAATGTCTCACATTTGGCATCCAGAGCTGGACCGACCATACTTTGACATCGCTACCAGGAGCAAGGACGCTACGAACGGGGCTCCTGGCCTTACTACTAGGAGCGATCGGACGCTACGTTCGGAGCAAAGGGCATCGCCACCAGGAGCACGGACGCTGCTCCGCTACTAAATCTTAAACCCTGCTACCTTTGGTTGTTGGGTCTTGGGCTGTCTTGGGCACCACCAGGGCCGCCCCCCCGTCGGACACAGCGCCTCTGTGGAAGCCAGGCGCTCATGTTGCTTCGAAGACC